GTGTCAAAACTACACCTACTGATCAAGCGGTTGGGCTTTGAAGAAGCGTTCAATCAATGCCAGTGACGCCTTGGGCTGGTTCGTCGGCACCATGTGGCCCGCCTCGTAGACGCGTACAAAACTCAGGCTCGAGATGGAGCGGACTTCGCCGTAGCTGGCCCCATCCACAACAAGCGGCTGCACCGTCGCATTATTGAACGCGGCTTGGCCGGGCCAAACGACATCTTTCGTCCACGCCTCGTTGCCGACCCAGTTGCACATGATGTCGGCGTCGCCTGCGTAAATGAGCACACGGACTCCATGCGCGAGAAGGTCCGGCACGTAGCTCACGTAGTCTTGCATAAAGTCGGCGCTGAAGTCAGAGTACGTTGTCTCGTTGGTCATGACCCATGGCTTGTGGACACCAAGTGTTGCCTGCGTCGTCGCCAAATTGAGAAATCGCGCGGCGTTGGCCGTCTCGTCAAAGCACGACTCGCCACAGAGCTCGCGGATGTCATAAGGGTTTCGGTTCATCTGCTGCATGACGCCAATGACTGCATCGTCCCAGAGACGCAGCGCATCGAGACAGCTCTGGCGCTGACCGCCGCGACACTGTTGCGCGAGAGCACCGGCGTGAACAGCATCCTGAAGCAGCTGGGTGAGCTGGTCCGCGGGCACTAGTGATATGTTGTAGGCGTTCGTGATGGCCAACGCGGGTGTGAGCGGAATCTAATTGCGATCGTAAGACGACGATGTACCGGTACCATAACGATGGCACCTGCGTGACAGGGTCAGTCAATCCGTTACCGACCGAGATGCCTTGCAGGTTGATATGGACCTTGTGGTGGCGCGACGCCAGCGGCTCGAGCTGCGCATTTAGGATGTAATGCCCGGCGGCAGGCACGTAGTGCCCAGCGTAGCTCTCACCCGTGATAAAGAACGGGCTTTTCGCGTACTTGGGGTGTTTCGTCAGGAACTCTTGCAGGAACGCGTAAATGTTGCGGCCAACGTCGACTTGATTGTGGTCGTCGTCCTTGTCGCTCGTCGTGTACGAGAAGCCGACGCCCGTTGGCTGATCGAGCCAAATGACGTTGGCGTGCGACGTCCACGAGTACGGATTGTATATCGTTGTCAGGTTGTCGCTGATCGAGCATGGACCGTTCTCAGTGAGAAGTGCAATCATCGACGACGACCCGGGGCCACCGGTGAGCCAGAGCACGAGTGGGTCCGTCGCTGGGTTGGAGCGCGACTCGAAGAACCAATAGAAGTAGTGGTCGTCAACCTTGTGCGACAGCTGCACATAGCCGGCCTCTTGGTACGTCGCATCACAGAACAATGAGCCGTTGAGTTTTGTGGCCGTCGTCCACGACCCGGTCGCGTGGGCAGCGACGGGTGGCGCTACCGTTGCATGCTCATGGACGTGGTACGTGGCACCGAGGAGCGCTGCAATGCTGACCCCAGCAAGAAAAAACTTCCCAAACCACGACGACGACGAGGGCTTTTGTGGCGCGGCCACGACAACTCGGAAGAGCGGCGCTTGCTCAGTCATTTGAAGACAATTGCACAATGGAGGCGCGCAGTTGAAGCTGAGTGCGATGATGGCTACTCCACTGTACTCTACTCATTTCGCGATACTAGTAGATGGGCACCGGCTGCTACCGCACTGCCAACCTCCAGTTGCGACTTTGCTGGACGGTCATCGATGGCTGCGAAGGCACCATCGCAATGTGCAGCGGTATGTGTGGTTTGTCGTTGCATTTCGCTCGAGAGCCATAGCGTTTGACGATCCGGAGCGCGCGGCGACGGTCCAACAACATTTGGGCAGGTGCAACTCAGCTCCGACTTCGATTTTTAACCGACGCAGATGCATGATTGTTCCGCGGATACTAAGGTCAGCAAGGTATGATCATGGGCTCCTTCGGCAGCGTGCGACGACAAAAATGGAATGCTCGATGTTTGCTTACGAAACCAGCGGCAGTAGGTAGAGGCACGATGAGCTCGCCGTTTCCTACGAACAAGCGCTTGCGATGATTTTGCTGAGGTACTACTACACTGCAGGTTAGTAATAGCATCGGCAGCTGCTCCGTGTGGTTTGTATTGTATGCGCTTCAAGATCGCCTGCTCGGAATGACGATCGTTCAAGATCGTCATTCCAAAACCACTAATTCGGGGTCTAGACAGGCCTATGATAAACATGAGAATAGTGTTTGTATGCTAACAAATACGTAGGAGCTTCTCCCATCGATGTTACCACCGCGCCACGGACTGCAATTGTACGCTGTACAGAGCACAGACATATATGTGTCTTTTGTCTGTGTCAGGGGACACTTTACGTGATTTACCAATATGTATGTGCCATTTGCCTTTGCCTCCCGGTCGTGTTTAATTTAATGTGACACACTACACACAAAATAGTGTTGAACACGATTGACGTGCGCCAGTCTGCAGCTCATTCCACAACGTTCCATGTCGACGACCGAGAAGTCCCCGCTATTCAGCGTGCAAGTAAAGCCCCGAAAGGCGCCCGAAGCCAGCTACAAGAAGTGGCTCCTGGCTATTGGCGCTGCTGGTGTCATCGCCGCCCTCGCGCTCTTGACGCTGTCACGCGGGCCGTCACCGTCGACTGACTTTTGCGACGCGACGTTCCAAGAATCCGGTTACATCAAACTGCCGCACAAGGTCGATGACCACTACTTCTACTGGTTCTTCGAGTCGCGCTCCAACCCAGCGACGGACCCACTCGTGCTCTGGCTCACCGGCGGCCCCGGCGGGTCGTCGATGGTCGCGCTCCTCACGGAGAACGGCCCTTGCACTATCGATGCGAACCTCAACACGGTCGACAACCCGCACTCGTGGACGTCGCACGCCAACGTCATTTGGCTCGACCAGCCAACGGGCGTCGGCTTCTCGTACACGACGAGCGACAAGGACGACGACCACAATCAAGTCGACGTTGGCCGCAACATTTACGCGTTCCTGCAAGAGTTCCTGACGAAACACCCCAAGTACGCGAAAAGCCCGTTCTTTATCACGGGCGAGAGCTACGCTGGGCACTACGTCCCTGCGGCCGCACACTACATAGTGGGCATGGCTAACGCGACCAGCGATGTGCGCATCAACCTCCAGGGCATCGCAATCGGCAACGGCATGACGGACACCATCACGCAGATTCCGTACTCGGCGCACATGGCGCGCGGCAACAAGTACATCGATCTCGCATCCCCAGAAGGCTTTGTGACCCTCAAGGCTGAAGCCGCTGCGTGCGGGAAGCTCGTCGTGCTGTGCCAAACCAACGACTCGGTGTGTCCCGAGGCGACGCAGTACTGGGGCGAGCATATCTTGGGCCCGATGATGAGCTACAACAACAAGACGGGCAACCCGTACGACATTCGCGAAGACTGCTCCGCCGGCGGCTGCGTCGACCACGTCGCCAACGCTCGCGCCTTTCTCAACACGCCGGCCGTGCAGTCGCGCCTCGGGGTGCACGACAACATGACGTGGACCGAGGTCGCGATGCGTGTCTATGGCGACTTCAGCATTGACTTTATGAAGGATTACGTATCGTTCGTGCCGCCCGTGCTCGCGGCCGGTGTCCGCGTCATGGTGTACGCGGGCGACGCCGATCTCATGTGCAACTGGGTCGGCAACGAAGCGTGGACCAAGACTTTGCAGTGGCCCGGGAAAGCCGCCTTCAACAACGTGAGTGTGAGCCCCCTTCTCGTCAACGGCAAGGAGGCCGGAAACGTGCGGGCCACGGACCTCCTCAGCTTCGTTCGTGTCTTCGAGGCTGGCCACATGGTCCCCATGGACCAACCGCAGGTGTCGTTGACGCTCATGGACCGCTTCTTCAACAACGCGCGCTTGGACGCGTAGGAGACACAACGTCGGTTTTGACATTTTTCTAGTCCGCGAAGACTTACTAACTGGTGATAGTACCGTCATCCATGCCGTGTTGAGTTCTCGTCACTGGATCAGGGCCTGGGCTGGCACGTTTGAGCACAACTTGACATTTGGTGTGATTTTTGGACCATGCAACAAGCAAACCACAACCTTTATTACTCGATGGCCGCGCCCATGCGTGCGAGACGGACGTTGGTAATACCCTCAAGGCCCTGAATCCGAGCCAGAGTCTCGTCCGTCATGTCATCGTCGAGCGTGAGAATGCCGAGCGCGAGCGGCTGGTTGGTCTGGCGCGCGAGGCCCATGGACGCAATGTTGATCTTGGCCAATGCCAGCTGCTGCAACACGTGGCTGATCGCGCCGGGCTTGTCTTGGTTGTTGAAGAAAAGGAGTGTGCCATTGGGCTTGAACGCAGGGAACTCGGTGTACTCGTCGACCTGCACAATGCGCGGCTCCTCGCCAAAGACACTGCCGACGACCGTGAGCTTCAAACCACCCTTGAGCTCGACCTCGATATGCACGGCGTTCTTCAGGCGCAGATCCGAGTCGTTCTCGACGTCGCCCAAGCGAACGTCGACGCCCTGCGCCATCGCAACCAAGCTTGCATTCAGATACGAAAAGGCCGTTTGCGGCTGGGACACCTCGAGCATACCCTTGAGAAGCGCGGCCTGCAGTGCCGAGCGCGCCTTCGGCGTCGTGATGTCAATGTCCTTGCCGCCAGCCGTCGAGATTGTGAGCTTTCGGAGGTCCTTTCGGCTTGCAGGCGGTAGCAGCTCCATGACGAAGCGGCCGAGGCTCTCCGAGAGTGCAAGGAATGGTTTCATCTCAGGTACGAGCGTCAGCGGCATGAAGACGCCGTTGACGACACCAGGGAACGCACGCTCATCGAGCGCCGCACACATGTTTTCCGCAATCATCTTGTACATGCGCGCCGATTCGTCCGACGTCGCGTCGGCGTCGTACGGAGCGACAACCGCCGACGGGTGCGAGAGCACGGGCGACCACGCATCGACCTGAACGTCTGGCGACGGCATCTCGAGCGCAATGCCGCCAATGTGCTCGGTAGCCAAACCGTCGGCGACTGCACCGGCGTCAAGGACACCAAAGCCGCCGACAGCGACGAGGCGGACACCGCGCTTGCAGTGGGCCAGCGCGGAAGCGTTGAACATCTGCCGCGTCCGGCTAGTGAGCGGGACGTGGAAGGTAAGCACGTCACTCGTCGCGTAGAGCTCAGGGAGCGTCGCGCACTTGGCGATTCCCGAGAGCGCGGCGGCCTCTTCCGAGACGGTCGGGTCGTACGCAAGGACGCGCATGCCCATTGCCGTGGCCAGCTCACCGACTCGCTGACCCGTCTCATTGAGGCCAATGATCCCGATCGCCTTGCCTTGGAGCTCTTCGCCCGTGAACGCATTCGTGTCAGCGTCGATACTCGTGCTACGTGTGGCGGCGACAGCACGGGGAATCTTACGCATGATTTGGAGAAGGAAGCTCAACACCATCTCAGCTTCCACAGCCGACTTTCCACCGACCTTGGTACTGATGTTCTGCACCATGACGCCCTTGTTCGTCGCGGCGAGGATGTCGACGTGCGCAGTCTGCGCGCCGGGGACACCAATGAGTTTGAGGCGTGTTGCGTGCGTGAGGAGGTCCGAGAGCGGCAGTCGCGTCTGGCGGTCCATGAGCATCGCATCGTACTTGGAAAGATCAGCGCCATCGGGTGCGAGCGCCTCGATCAGGCTCGCGCTCGACATCTCGTCAACATGAAGGCCTTGCTGAAGGAATTCGTCGATGCAGACGCGGTCGGTGACGTCGAGGCAGAGCACGTGCTTGGGCGCGGTAGACGCCGCTACGTTCGTCGCCTTGTGCGATTGCACGGCGAGGCTCGTGAGCGACCGCGCGCTCTGGCGCAGTGGGCGGCGAAGGAAGGCTCGCATGCTTCGCTTCTGGTACCAATGGTGTCGAAAATGGAATGTGATGTGAACTTGCGATCTAACCGAGAGAGCGTTGCTGATTGGGCAAAAAGATCGGATTTCGGCGTTTGACGCAATCCACGCAGCTTCTTCAATGTATTTTTGACCAATAGGAAGCATCAATTTCTTTGCTTATGAATCAAAGCGAAAAAATATCTTGCGGCGCCGACGACGACCGTCATGCGAGGAACACTGCCGGCGCTCGCCCTCATATGGCTGAGCATGGGATATGTGGATGGCAGTGGATGTGTCATGACGCAAGACTGCGTGAACCCGGGCAACATCCCCGACTACGACGCATGCATCCCGAAGGCCCTCGCTTCGATCGCCCCACCCAAGCCAGTACGCTAGGATGCTTGTTCCTAAGTTCATGGTGATGGTAGATGCGCGGGGACGGATGGGCAACAGGTGCAGTCTCTAACGCTGCGTGTTCGTGTTTGCCTTATGCGCTGGCGGTATCATGTAGTCACGGGCGGCGGCGCGTGCACGGCGGCCACTGATTGCCACCAAGGCACCTGCGTCAAGAATGCATGCGTCTGCCGGGTGCGACGACTTGAATGTCGTACCAGATATCAAATCTCACGTGGTTTCTCCTAGAACGATGGCGTGACGGCTGGCACCCACTGCGACGACTTCGCGATCCAATGCCCCGAGTACGAAGGCTCGGCGTGCTGCTCGTGGCAGCAGAACCGAGCGCTCGCTGACAACTTTAAGCTCATTGCGACCATGTTTGGCCGCAATAGCGCCGGCGGCTGCGACGCATGGTAGAGCCTCTGCACAAAGCATTTGCTTGCATTGCTTTGATAGCGCCGCCAACATGATGCGCATGTGGTGCGGCCTTGTCTGTGCGCCGAACCAGGCCGACTTTATGAAGATGCACTTAACGTACCCGAGCAACAACTACCGCCTCGACTCGATGACCGGGAAAGATCACGTCAAGGTGCTTGAGGTAAGGCGATGATGTTTTTCGTCCTTGCGTACGATGGGAGCTTATTTAGATGGACGTGAACCTCGCCAAGCCGTTCACGTGCGCGCTCTTTGACTCGTGCAAACACACTGCGATCGCAAGCATGTCGGACGCCTTCAAGTCGTCGCTCGGTTTCCTCAACTACCAGGGGCAGACCGGCGCCGTTGGCCATGGTGAATACCTCTTTTTTCACTTTGGTACTGTGTTTCTTGGTCGCTGGCGGACGTCTAACGTCGTCGTGAAGGCGCCAATAGCTCGTACTTTAACACGTCAGCGCTGCGCTGCGACAACTACTCTGAAGTCACGACGCCTGACGTATATCGCCGCCTGCCGGCCCAAGCCCAGCGTCTGCCGTCGATGGTCAACCCATTGGCGCCCAAGCAGTGTCCGTGCGGCGCCTGTCGAGCGACGTGCAGTGCAGACAGCGGCGCGTCGGCGCACATCACGTTGCGAGACAACCCGATCGGGTTTTGGACCGGCTTTGACGTACAGCTCGTGAGCGCCGTGTACGCTGGCATTGCGCTCTTCACGGGTGCCCTCTACTGGAAGCACAGACTCATGTAGCTCCATATCGATCGTCAATGGTCTGACATTTGTTGGTGATCTTCTCGCGTCAGCAAGAAAGAGCATTCGTCTTCGCACGTGTCGATGTGGATGAGTCTCAATCGTGCGCTGTGGTATGCTTTGCGACTAGATAGCCGAGAAGCAAGCATAGTCTACAGGACGCATTCCAAATTTCATTAACGACAACATTGTCGCGGATCTCGAGTACGCTGAACTTAAGAGCCAATGAGGTGTGAGAGCTCGGCGACGGGGCTAGGGTACACTAGCATTGCAAGTCGTAATGAATTCAAAAAGTTTTCAATACATTTGGCCCATTCATGCACTAGGTACTACTACTTACTACACGTGTCGACGCTCAGATCGCGCGAAAGGCCATTGCGCCCGGCATGATACCCGTCGCCGTCGGCATGTTCACGGCCGCATTGTTGATGTTGTTGTTGCTGCTGTTGAGGAGGTCGTCCAGGCAAAAACCGAGCTCGTCCGTGTCTTCCATGTCATCCGACTTGCACGAATCACAGTCGCTCGCGTCGTTCGTGTCGAGAACCGAGTCCATAAACATCGCAATCGAGTAGCCGGGCGGCGCCGTAAAGCCCGCGTAGGCCTCGCCGCTGGGCATGACGTGGCCGACGTCGATCTCGGTCGCCTCGACGAGCGGGCATGTCGATATGTTATGGCCCTCGCCGTGGCACTTGCGGCACTTGTACGTCTTGCTACTCGGGTTGCGCCGGTTGCGCGGTGGATCACGCTTGCGCTTGCGCTTGGGCGCGCGCACGAGTGGCGGGCTCTTCAGATTTGAGTCCGCGACCTTGGCCTCGACGCGTGGCACGTCGATGCGCTTGTCCTTGTATGACTGTGCGTACGCCTCCATCGTGTAGCAGTAGCCATACGCCTGAAGGATGCGCTCCATCTTGTTGACGGCTTTGAGGCCCGCGATGAGGTGGCGGCATGGCAGCTCCATCTGGTCGCGATCAACACAAGTGCACGTGAGGTCGTTGAGGTTGACCATCTCCTGGTCGTGCATGGGCGCCGTGCTCCGGTACACACAGTACATGCCGTCCGTCGTCGGCTTGGTCAAGTACATGTTGGCCATGGACTTTTGCGTCAGGTAAAAGTCCTTGGCAAACGGTGTCAAAACACGTTTTTCCTGGAGCCACTGGCGCGCCTTGGCATCGCGCTCAGCAACAGCTTTCGCCGCGCGCTCCATGCTCTTGAAGAGTGCTCCGAACGGCAGCGAGCGCTGAACCTTGTGGCGCACGGCACCTATTGCACGCACATGGTATCAACCCTTCGACAATATTTCGAGAGGTATACCGTTGTCGTCGGTGAGGTGTTCCGTAAAGGTGGTCGTCGCGCTCTTGTACAGCCGGCGGCCCTCCATGTCGGCAAAGTTGGCCATATTGGCAAAGACGACCCACTTGACGGGCGGGATGTCTTCGAGGTACCGCCGCAGCGGGTAGCCGTACTTGGCGGTGAGCATGTCGAGCTTATGCATGTACATGGTGCGCGATGTCGACGCCTGGAGGTTCCAAATTTGCTCCTCAAAGCTCGGGCCGGAAAAATCGAAGTGCGCTTTCACAGCCTGGATGATGTGGAGGCAGCTAAACTTGAGCACGACCGGAATGTTGGTCGCCGAGAGCGCGCGGCCAGCGACGACCGCCTTCTTTTGGTCAACAAATAGTGGGTTGACTGTGATGCCCGCCGTCGTGCAGTTGGCGAAGAACCAAAAGTAGTTGTCGACGCTCTCCTTGGGCAGGATCGCAAACGCCACTACGACGTTCTGGCCATTGCCGTCCTTCTGCACAAGCGTGAGGGACGAGCCCTTGTAGTGCTTTGTCTTGAAGTGCGCGGCCTCGAGACCCATCACCGGCATGTTGCGCGGGCCCGCGGCGACAAAGACGCCAAAGGACACGAACGCGCGGTAGAAGCGCGACTTGGTGTCTGCCTCGAGCGACACGCGGCAAGTCGGGTTAGCGCGGCCAAACTCGGTGAGGAGCCACGGGATGTAGTTGTAGCTATTCTCAAGCTACACGGCAATGAGAGAGCGAACGAAAGCGTACGAGTGTGTGTGTACCTGCGACGTGTACTGCTCGAGGACCTTGTCCTTGACGCGGTAGAAGCCCGCCGACCGCGCCGAAAAGTTGGTACCACCGAGTGCCTGGGCCAATACCATGAGATTGCATGCTGGACACATACGTGTCGTACCTGCATGCCGTTGACGAGCGACTCCTTTGACGAGTCATGCTGCGCGAGAACGAGCGCCTTGACGGCAGGAAGCATCGCAGCCTGACGCTCCGTGGCCTTGGACGTTGACGTACATGAGTCACAGTGCACGAGGCTCATGCCTACGCCGAGCATGATATATGCTGCTCATGCCAAGTCGAGGACGTACTGGCAATCTCGAAGGACTTGCCCGTGGAGCCCTTGCGGCGGATGCGCGTCGCCGTCACATGCCATTCGCAGGGCGTGCTCGTGCAGATGTATTGGCTCTTGCTGCCAGATCGAAAACCTAGAGAAATGCAGGCGGCATTGGGCCAGAGCCGAGAGGTGGCGTCTCGCGTACCCATCTTGCACGACGTGTCGCTGTTGAAGCAGTAGTCCTGCACAAAGTACTTGAAGTGCGTCGCCGACGGGAACTCGGCCTTGAGCATCGGCCGGTCGTAGCCGTGGAGCGCCTGCAGGTCAAAGGCCATCCCTCCTCGCCCGTCGTCGCCTCTGCAATTCTTGAGAAATGGCCAGTGCGTTCCGGATGCATATCCGGATAGCTGCAAACCGCCGCTTTTTGCTGACACTCAGCCCGGCGCAAGTACAAGGTTGTTTGGTCCTTTGAAGCGGTACGATTTTTGTACGAGATCAAGCGAAGTACGCCAAACCATTCAAAAAGGAATCGGAGATTCACACATCCAGCTGCACTTTGGATCGACATGCACAGGGTTCGTTTGACCACGCCCAGTATCGTACATATGCACGAGAAGGCATACTAGTAGGTTATGGTTGAGGTCCTCGATGCAGACAATGCCAAGCTCGTGCTGATCTGCAAAACGTTGCATGTGTCGGATTTTTTCTCCTTTATCCGGTGGGATCTGTTCAACTGATCTGCTTCGGGGCCGGCTGCGGGGTGCTCGTCCCGTGGACGAACTTCCTTGAGCTGAGCGTCACGTGGTAGAGTAGAAGTCGCCATGGAGATGGTCTGTTGTCACGGATGCGGGCCTCACGGTGAGAGAACCAACCCGCTCCTGCTTTCGATCTTTTTCCTTCATGGGCTCCCTTTGCCGTCCAAGTCGAGAGGTAATTTTTTTAAAATTAATTAGCAAAGGAATGTGGCCCAACGTCGTCGACAGTGCATTGCAGCTGTGCACTTCGTGCATATGACGATACTTCGACCCACGTGGATGCCCGTGCAGCGCGTCGCTGTCATGTTTAGGTAGCTGTGCAGGATGTGTCAAGCGAGGATTTGCCTTCAGTTGTCGTGGCAGGATATTTTCCGAAGCATGCATACGCGGGAGTTACGAGCTCTTGTTGAAACTGCAGGCATGAGTCTCTCGATTCATTTTATATTCTGAATTGTAGTGAAGTTTGAAGAAGAATATACGCTCTGTGCTAGAACATTGACGTTTCGTTTGCGGTTCCCACATTGCCTGCGCCACATCGACGACGTTGCCGTTGCAAAGCAGTAGTACTGCACACTGTAGTGTACGACGATGCACCTATATGCACCAGCAACTGCACAATGGCAGAAATCAATTTTTGACGACGCGCAATGATGCTTTTCACGATCGGAAGGCTAACATTGCCTGAGCTCAGTCTCTTGGTCGCGACTGTCGTCGGCGTCTTCTTGTGGCTCGCTGCACGGCGCAGCCCGTATGGCCATCTTTTCGGCCCACCGCCCACAAGCTGGTTGTTTGGTTCTGGGTACTACCGCCTACCTGTTGCGTCTCCACTATCATGATGATTATGACGAGCCATTCTAGACGAGAAGCGATGGACTTTTCGATCTGGTCGCAAGATGGCGGGTTTGGCGAACCCGGACTTATGTGGTGCGTACTCTTTGCCACCAGATCTAGCTCATAGAATGTGGCTCTTTATGCTGTAGGCTCAAGCGATACGGAAGCGTGTACTACTACCGCGTGCTCCACATGCACCGAGTTCGTTGCTTGTAAACGCCTTTGCGGCTCATGCTGCCGGTAGATTGTTGTCGCCGACCCTGTTGCCATCAAGCACGTCATGGTCACGCATGGAAGAAATTACCCGAGGGCGCCAATCACACGCATCATATCAAAGGTACGCGTCCGTCCATCCTTTTTGCGGAAGATAATTCGGCGTGTAGAAACTTGCAGGCGGAGAGAGCCTCCTCTCGACCGAAGGGCGCAGCCACACGGCTCTACGCAAGCTCTTCAATCCCCACTTTGGCCAAGCCAGCGTCAAGACGATGCTTGGCATCTTCCAGCACCACACTAACGTCTTTATGGAGCAGCTCACGGCGAAGGAACCCGTGGATCTACAGAATCGTATGTTTTCGGCAGTTTCAGTGTGGACCCTACCCCTGTCGAACTGATTGGATTTCTGATTAGTGTTTACAAAAATGACGCTGGACGTGATTGGCGTCGCAGCATTTGGCTTCGATTTCCAGTCGCTCCTCGACAAGAATGCCCGCGAGATCCAAGCGTACAACGATATTCACCTCACGCCGAGCTTCTTCGGTATCATCGGTTTCGTCTTTCTGCCGTTTTACGAGTACCTGCCATTGGCGTCCAACCGTCATCGTGCGGAAGCGCAGGCGGTGCTTCAAGGCGTCATCGATCGAGTGTTGCAGCAAAAAGTTGCTGCTCTGAATTCGGCCAAGGCTCGCGATGCTCCCAAGGACATACTGGACCTCATCCTCGAGCAGGCATCAGACATGTCGATGGCCGACATCCGCGCCATGCTGCTCATGTTCATGATCGCTGGCCACGAGGTACGGTAACAATGCCCGAAAGTCCCACTCACGTGCGTCACGGATAGACGACTGACAACACGCTGGGCTGGATCGTCTCGTTCGTGGCGCAGCACCCAGAAGTGGCTGCCAACGTCCACGAAGAGTGCTCGCGCATGCGCGGCGATGGCAACAACACGGTGCCAACGTGGGACGATCTCAGCAAGCTCCCTTACCTCTCGGCCGTCATTCACGAGTCCATGCGCTTGCGTCCGACTGTGCCGGAGTTGCCATCCCGCCTTGCCCTTGAAGCCGACATGGTTCCACTGACCGACGGCTCGCACCTGGCGGTTCCCAAGGTATTTTACTCGATATATCAGAAAGTTCAATGCCAAAGATTTCTACTAGGGGGCTAACATCTTTCTCGACATCATCGCTATTCAGCGTAACCCGACGTACTGGAGCCGGCCCAACGAGTTCCTTCCAGGTGAACGGATGTGTGTAGAATCGACACTGCATCTCGTCGTGGTAGAGCGCTTCATTGAAGGCACCAATACATACGAAGCCGACTTGGCGCTCCGGGGCGGCAAGCCCAACACGTTTTGCTACTTTCCGTTCGGCCTGGGTGCGAGCTGGCATGAGATCTAGATCTGAACGAATGTAGGCGACAAGCGCTGCATCGGAAATCGATTTTCAATGACCGAGATGCTTGTCGTGCTCTCAGCCTTCTTCGCGAAATACCGCGTGGCGCTGACGTCGGCCGCCGACGTGAACGTGCGCAAGCACACGGGGACAATTGCGCCCGTTCACCTCGAGGTCCACCTCGCATCGATCGCCACCAAATAAATGACGAGCAACAATATATTGAACCACATTTAATCTATTTGGACCATATGAAGCATAATTCACCGAAAACGTTGTGACAGACCAATTCACAACGACGAAATGCAACATTGGTAATCGCAACCCGTGGCCGCTTCACAACCCTGCGCGACCAGATGCTCCCAACATTTTATCCGGATAATTGCCACTCGTCAAAATGCTCGCGACGTCCGAGCTGCTGACGCTCGGCATCCCTGCAGTCCTCGCTGTCTGTGTCGCGGCACTGCTCGTTGCTCGGCGCAACCCATATGCCCACCTTCCAGGTCCACCGCCGACGAGCTGGCTCTTTGGCAACGGGTACCAAACACTTTTGGCCTCGGGATCGCCGTAACTGCGTCGGTGTAGGAAGGAAGCAATGGATTTTGCACTGTGGGAGCAAGACGGCGGCTTCGGGGAGCCCCATGTTTCGTGGTATGAGCACACCACCTATGCATGGTGACGCAGCGTTTTGATCGCGTAGGCTAACGGGAGCATCTTCTACTACCGGATGCTTCACATCTACCGCGTACTGTACAAGCGATTTGTCCGAGTCTGCAACTGACTCGTACTAGGTCATCGTCACGGACGCGAACGCGATCAAGCACGTACTGGTTTCGAACGGCAGAAACTACCAGCGAACGCCTCTCATACGCACGCTTTTCCAGGTATGCAGCGCTGTAAACGTCCC